GATTTGATTTTTTCCTGCTCCAGGTGGTTGGAACATTTATTCCATTCTGGATTCTTGTGAGTGTAGTCTTTGTTCACTTCACAATAAAAAAGAAATAAATAAACAGTTTCGAAAACTTCTGTATTCATTCTTTTCTTGCTTTGTGTGTCAACGTTTACGGTTGCTAAGCAACAGAGCTTACGGCGGTAAAACCCGCTGAAGGGTAGACCTGTTTGAATTCACAGCCAAAACTCTTCCGGTCTCCTTATTTTCAAGGCCTTCGAAGGATCCAGTCTAGGTAGACCGCGTCCTTGGAGGATGCAGCCCAGGATTTCGAACAGAGCCATTCTCTTTGTAATATCCTGCATATAATGGTTCTTCTACTTGGGGCTGCAATTCCCCTCTAGTGGGTGGCGAAGGTACTGCAGGATAGCTCTGTCAATATTGCTTAGAGAAAGCACGCTATTGCCGGGTACCAAATCTTTTCATTGAGACTTGATTACTGTGAAGCTCTTGATTGAATTTTCTGCATATTTTCAGGCCCACATAGTTCTAATAGGGTCTAATTTTGTATTTGGAACCTCACATCCTACCCAGTGGATGTGACCGTTCCTCAATGATCTGGTTTGGTCCTCCTCTGTTCAGGCCTCCCTGCTCAGTGCCACCTGTGAGACGTTCATCAGGACTTTGGAGGAATGCATGAGCCTGGCCAACCAGAGTTTGACCCCTGACATCCGACCCCCCGAAAGGGTATGCTTGTTTTTTTTAAGCCACTTTCAACTTATCCATAATCAGTCTAATCTACTATATCAGACAGGAAGGTTGTAGGCTTATCAACTTAAATCAGTTGTGTTCCTTTTTTCTCTCTTTTTTTTTTTTTTGACAAAAAATATAAAAAAAAAATGAAAACCTGCAACTATTAAACGACAGTTTTTCTGGGTTCGGACTCTTGTGTGAAAAGACGGGATTTAAAAACAAGCCGTTTGCTGAGCTGCTGAATGTTTTCAGATTGTATCAGTGTAGATGATTAAAACCTCTTATTGTGTCAATCTGGACAGATGAAGCGGTCCATCAGCCACCCTGGAACGTACAGCTTTGACAGGTCGGTTCACCTTTTTGCTTCTTCCTTTTAAGGATAGTCTGCTGCACGAAAGAAAACAAAATAAAAACCTTGAGCGCATATTCATGTTTTTGGTTTCTCCAGAGGTCTACAGTGTTTCCAGTCCAAACATCTATTGTCAGCTAAATAAAACTCTTAAGAGAGCAGCAGCAGGAAAAAATAAAAAATAAATAATTATTTGAAGGTACATTTAATTGTTTAATGGTGTATATAAAAAAATGAAAGGATCATTTTATTATTTCATGCCACTTTATATATTTTATTTGATCCAATTTTTATCCTCCATACAGTACAACTACTTTATTGGTATTTTGTCAAATCCGGTGGATCGAATGTGTTAGGATCTTGAGCAGCAGGACCTTCGTCACGAATATCATATTTGTAGTCAGATATCGAGGAATCTGTGCTTAAATGTCTCTGTGCTAAACCCTTTTGCACAGAGACAGATAAAAACCTTTTAATAAACCAAACAAGCCGCCACATATCTGATTAAATAACGATTAAAACGACTATTTTTATTAATTTGGGATGAACTATTCACATACTTTTATTATATTAAACTGCACTTACAATATTCACCACTGTTCGGCGCCATTTCTCTTTTCATCTGAACATGGAGCAGCCGGCTTACTTGGACTCGCAATGAATCACGGGACATCACAATCAGAATTATTTTATTAATCTGTTGCGGGAAACTTTTTTCTTGCAATGCAACCCTTTACAGAAGAGAGAAACATAAGATTTTAAATATCAATAAGATATAAAAATAATATAGGGATCAAAATAAGATAAGATAAGGACTTAAAGTATATACAATTGATACCATTTACAATTTCCGACACTGCTCAGTACCAAATTACAATGATTGCACACGTTATTTCAAATACTGAAGTAATGAAATATATAATGAGTAAAGGAATTAAATGACCGTCAGAGAGATGTAGAGTTTGATGGCCACAGGCAGGAAGGACTTCCTGTGTGATGAAAGGAGTCTCTGACTGAAGGCGCTTCTGTGGGCGACCAGCACATCATGAAGAGGATGTCCAGCATGGATTTTATCATGACCAACATGCTTCTCTTTGCAGCTGCTGTCAGAGAGTCCAGCTCCTCTCCAACAACTGTGACTGGCCTTACAGATTACTTTAAGTCTATGTTTGGATAGGGGTCATGCCGCATGATCTCTATCCAAACAGGTCACGGCGTCGCACTATGATGTAATCGGCCCACGAATCTGGCCTTTGGAGGATGGAAAGGCTGAATTGGAACTCAGCATATGTTGCTTTGTAGCTCCCACAATGCTGCAACCTGGCAACATCTTTTCTAAGCTTATCAGACCAAACTAGGGATGCAGAGGCTGGATTTCCACCTTTTTCAGTGATCATAGTGACTTTTAGTAAAAGCAAACCAGGAAGAGGTTGTCTTGTCTCCGTCTGTGAGAAGCAGCCAATCAGGCGACAGCAGTTCTATGGTCGTCTTGCCCGCTGATTAGATGGGCCAATTTGACAGTTTAATGAAAATGAGTTTTTTACACAAGACTCCATTAAACAATAAAATGTATATAAATTTATATATTTAAAAAAGTACATTTATTGTCATAGTTGTAAAAGGTATAGTTGATTATTTATTGCCACATGTGATTATTACCTTTTTGTTTTCGTTATTTGAAGGTACATTTAATTGTTTAATGGTGTATAAAAAAATGAAAGGATCATTTTATTATTTCATGCCACTTTATGTATTTTATTTGATCCCGTTTTTATCCTCCATACAGTACAACTACTTAATAGGTATTTTTTCCAATTTAATATTTTAAGGACCTTTTGTCACCCTTTAGGTCAGGTTTGCTAAAGGAGTACATGAGTGGAGGTCAGAGGTCAGATCAGCGCAGACATCGGACATCCTCAGACAGCTGTGTCTACGAGACCGAATGTAAGACTTGGCCTTTATGTCAATTTATTTATGACCTTATCAGTGTGTGAATGCTTCATGTTCCAAATGTTCCAGGTTTAGTGGCTCCAATCCTTAAGGGCAGGAAGGAAACTGGGATAAAATTGTTGCTGCACTAGGAAAAAAATCCTGTTTATCCAAGCTGTTATGGTAAAACTCACTGCGGCTGATTTATTTAGGTATCTACAGGGTTAACAGGTGTCTTTTATAAAGAAGAACAGAAGAAGTGCAGCAATATTTAGGAGAAACAAATGTTAGAAACAGACTTTGCTTTATCTGCAGAAATCCCTTCAGGAAGATGACCTTCAGAGGGGCAAGGAGGATGCAAGCATAGCAAGACAAACATGTAACAGAAACCAAGAGTTTGGTTCAGTTAATAGACTTTAACAAGCTACAAACATCCCTTTATCCTGTTTATATGACTTAAAATCGCCTTAAGGCTGATTTATACTTCCAAACTAGGTTGTTTGCGTAGGTATCACAGTGAACACAGAGACTTCCCCGCCCCCTCTGCAGACGCTCCGCTGCACCTTCCCCAAATTGTAGCCGACCGCAGACAGGAGGCCGGCTTGTTTATTTGACGGCCATTGTGGAAAACAACTCGTGAAGTTAGACCAGCTAGAAGAGTGAGGTGTGCAAGAACGCTGGGACCCTTTTTCCACCTGGATCTCCGCTCTTTTTGGCCCCCATGTCCCTCCGTCGTCGGACTAAACTCGCCCCCACTTCCTCTCCGCATCGACCGTATCTAGACCCACAGCGTATAGCACAGACCACGCTTCAATATTGAGCATAAATCAAAAAATGTCTGCATCAAGCTCACTGCGACACACTGCAGCGGGAGGATAACCAGCCCTTTAGAAGAAACCTAATCTCCTGGTTTTTTCTGATCATTTAAAGGCAAAACCTTAAACAATGAAAAACAACTCGACAAAACTCTTTTTTTTAAATTATTATTATTTCTCTTTTTTCAGATTCTTTTGCACAATTTTGAGATCAAATTATTTTCTCTTCTGGGGGAGGGATTACCTCTGAAATGAGGAGTGAAGACTTATTTCTGTTTGTATGCTGGATGTTAGCAACAACATTTTATCGGTTATTCTGGGCTTTAAATGAACCTGACCTGTTAAACACAATAATGAAAAGGATGCAAAAGAAAGAGAAATAAAAATAAGCAAAAAGAAAAATCTTAAAAATGAAGTTTCTCTTTACTTCTGTTTTTTAGGTTTGCTTCCTGCTCTGAATGGCGACTCGTCCTCCATCCCTGAGGAGCGGGGAGGCAGCAGCGTGAGCCCAAAGACCACGCCGACAGACACAGACACCGATCTGTCCATCTGACCTCCTAACCTGGACTAAAGGTCCGACTGGCTGCCGTTCAACAGGAAGAGCTGAAAACTTTCTGCCAGGGCTTCCTTCACTCTCTCTTTCAGACTCTTAAATCTCTGCAGCTGAGCTGTGGTGCTTTAAAACTCTCAGATCAGCAGAGAGCCACACAGAGGAAATGCTGTCCTGTTTTGGTAGAACACAGCTGATGAAATAAAGCATCCTGAAGGCACAATGTGAAGATGATTGAACAGCACCTGCTGCTTTCTGGATGGAAAATAATGCAGATGTTTGTTGTGAGGTTTTATTGGCTCTGATTTGTGTTTTGGTGGTTTCCCGGGTCCTCCTGAAAACGGAACCGCCATCTTTCTTCTGTCTTAGAGAAGTTCCTCATGTTGAGCCGATTTGTGGATCCATTCCACCAGACGGACCTCCACTGTCTGGCTGCTCATTTCTAATAAGCTGAAGTTGGATTTTCAGTGTTTCCTGTATTTATTTAGTGAATTATAATTCAAAACGACTCGAAGGCCATGATGAAACTAGGCAGAGGGAAGTTTTGTCTTTATATTTTATCTCCTAATGAAGCATGGCCGCCAGCAGATGGCAGTATAACAAAGCTACATATCTCTCCTTCAGTCGGTCATGATGTTACTGGATTAAGGCTCAGTTTCAAACATAAACTAAAACGTTTTGTTACAGGATGTGAGCCTTTAGCTTCTCTTCATGACAGCAGTGGGAATCTGTAACTGCAGTCAGATGCATTGGTTCAAGATTAGTAGATTTATTTGAACAGGATAATTTGTACCTCTATAGTTTGATCCGTTTGCTCTGCAGCAGGTATTACTCTGAACCCATGGTCTGCTTTGGGAAACAAAGCTGTGATGGTGCAGCATTGTTGAAACTGTTCAGCTTTTAATAGTGTTCACAGGTTTTCAAACCTTCACACTCTGTTTACATTAACACCCAAAGCTCTATTCTGTACCAAACAGTGGAAAAGAACTTTTGCATTTTCAACTAGAAAACATCTAAACTTAGTTTCTGGCTCCTTCTGTATGGAGGGAATTTTGTTCCAGTAATGTTGTAAACTAAGAACAAGTTTTGCAAATTGGAAAATTTGAAAAAAAAAAAATCAAATCCAGAAATGAAACTGAAATTTTGGCGTTATATATATATATTTTTTTTACGTATTTTTGTCAAAATTTTGTTTTGAAATACATTTTTACAAATCTTATATTTCAAAAATAATTTTTTTCAACTCTTCTTTTTCAGATTGTTTGAATGAATTACGTTCTTTTTAGCCACTTACAAACACTCGCTCTGGACCAATAAAAATGTTGCTGAGGTCCATGCAGACCAATAGAGTCCTCGCTCCCACTGCAGAGGAAAGCCTGCCCCCAGAAGTAAAGAAAATATGATTGGTAGAGCCAGATTGGAAAAGATAGCTGTCTGTAAAACAATTCAACCATAGAAAACTTTGAAAAACAAGTAATTTTGAATTAAAAATCGGGAAAAAAATGCTTTTTTGGGGGGGGGATTTCATTTTTTTTCTTTCAAACGTAACTTTACAAACCATGCTCTTTGCTTGCAGCAATAATGGAACAAATATCACTCCATATCAGCCTAACTAATAGCTTCACCATTTTTAAATAATCCTCTCTTAGATCTCCACTGTCTGGATTTAGCCTGCTTTGGTCTATAAGGAGCAGCTGCTCCTAAAATGTCTCCAGGGAGCCTGATGACTGATTTCTATACTGGCAGAAAGAGTCTTTCATGCCATTGTCCCCTGTTGCTGCATTGATTGGGTGTGAATTGCTTTAGATGATATTTTATCTTTTTGTTCTGTTATGGCACTTAAAGCTGTTTGTTTTGTTTTTCTGTGACTTTCATATATATGGTCGGTTTGCTGACGCCCGACTGTGCCACCTGTACCCTTACTGCTTGTTACCAGTAGATGCACCTTTAACTCTCCTGTAAGGAAATCATTCCTTAATAAATAAATAAAAAATAGGTATGACTCTCTGATCAGACCTTAGTTAAGACTTTTTTAAAACATTTAGACATATTAAAACTCTGAATGTTCATGCCAAAATTACACATTGATATATATATATATGTATGTGTATATCTATATCAATGTGTGTATGAATATATATGCATATGTGTGTGTGTATATATATATATATATATATATGTATATATATATATGTATATATGTTTGTGTATAAGAGCAAACATTTGTCAGTATTATATTTTGTTAATCATATGGATTTTTGTCTCAAACTCTGCAACTATTCAGTGGATTTTAATGACATATATGTCTGTATAGTCCAAGTGGACATTTGGCAAAATTTTATTTTATTTAAACATGTATTTTAATTGAAACATTTATCCTATTATATTTTATTCGCCATTCAATTTTTCTTTTTGTATTGGGTTTATGTATTTTAGCCTTTAGTTTTTATCTTATGTTCATTAACTGTGATTCCTGAACAGCACTTTGATCAACCCCGGTTGTTTTAAAAGTTTGAGTTGAGGTGTGTGTGTGTATGTATATATGTATATATATATATATATATATATATACATGAGTTGCTGCTGACTCTAAAGTCCTCTTCCTGTCGTTAGCTGTCAGAAATATAAACAGCTTCAGAAACTTTTACTGTATTTTTAAAAAAAATCATTTTATGAGATCACTTATTGAGATTACTGTTTTCTTAGCCTAACTCTTAAAATTGAATGTCTATCACAGTTTTTAGTCACTCTGGTTGCTTGTGTTGCTCGCATTTATCAGAAGAGATGTGTTAGCCTGAAGTTTGGTCTCTTTGGATGGTTTTCTGTGCAATTCTTCTTATTTTTTTTTTTTTTGTGAAACTCTGCCTCCAGAATGTCAGATTAAAACTAAAAGGGTTTTGGGATTTATATGTGCAGAGCAAATAAAAAACAATTAGTCTCCTGGATTCCTTTTGTTTTTGCATCTAAATTTCAGAAGACTTTTTAGAGACTGCAGAAAGTGGTGTGGGGTTTGATCATGTCTGATTTATATCGTCTGAATAAAGTTTTGAAGTTTGAACTCAGTGCTCACTTACAGACTTTGGATGAGGGGAATTATTATTATTGGAAGTAAAAAAACACATTTTGTGGACTGAAATATAAAAAGAAAACACAAACCAGACATGAAACTTAAAGAAAAAAGGATATGACAGTAATTGCTTTTTCCTAAGATTTATTTTCATTGTTTTCATATTTAATTTATTTCAGGTTATTTCTATAGCATCAGTTCACACTTAACAGAGACAATTCAACCAGATCATTTCAGATTTAATTATTTCTTCACTTTATGTTATTGCTTTTATTTATTTTTTCAAATTTCTGTTTTCACATTACTTGCATTCTTTTCAAAATTGCATTTTACAGATGCAATTTTCGTGACTTCTATGATGGTCTTTCCTCTGGAATGAGGAGTAAAGACTAATTTCTATTGGTCTGTAAGAACGTTAGCAACAGTATGTTTATATGTTAGGAGCTAGCGTTTGTTTTTGGCTTGAAGTGAAGTGAATGTGATCTGTGAAACTTTCAAAAGAAATTCGTAAAACGGAATCTGGAAAATAAAAAAAACACTTGAAACATTCAAATATGTATAGAAAATCCATTTATAAAGCACATTCTTTGCTTGAAACAATATTGAAATAAAATTCACTCCGTACCTTCAGACCTTGTAGATGCAATTAATAGGTTCCATCAGATGTTGCAGCAAAGATAACGATGACAAACATTTATGCCTGAATTAATCTCTTAGGTTTTTTTCCTGACTCTCTAAATTTTGGGACTGTTTTTGAGAAAGCGTTTTGCTTATAAACCATTTCATGAAGTGTTCACATTTAAACATATCAAAGTAGAAACTGTTTAATTCATTATTGTTTAAATCTTGTTGGTATCAGTATATCAACCACAAAGCACTGCCTTAAAGATCCTTAAAACAGGATGTTTTGGGAGCACATTTCTTTGTACTTTTAATGTTTCTCGGTAAAACTCAAGTTTATCAAGTTTTAAATGCAGTTTTTCTTCCAAATCTGATCTGATCCAGTTGATTTAACAAGAAAATTACTAAACTAGTAAAAAGTCTCTTGACATAAAAAAGGCTTAAAACATACATGTAAAGTAGATTTATCAGGAAGAATATAACGCCTTTTTATCATTTTTGATCATGTTTTTTTTTTTTATTAAAAACAAATATATAAATAAAAATGTAATGTTTTGACTAAACTGTAGCCTTGTCTGTTTTTTAAGCACTTTTGATGCATACTTGAAGCAATGCTGTGTAACTTTGAGACACTGGTGGTAAGACAGATCTGTAATTCCAGGTTCAGCCCCTTGCATCAAATTAGTTCTCAGTCAGAATAGCTCAAATGAGTAAGGACACTTAAACCACGCTGGAAGTGAGTCTGCAGTGCAGTCACCAATCACAGTAAGGCTGGCAGTTTGAAAGGAGGTAGGACCAGATAGCATTATGATCTGTGACTTATTATGGGGGGAGGGAGGTTCTGTTTGTGTGGCCCATACGGGGATGGGGGTCGGAACCAAAGCAGGAACTAAATGGGTACAATTGGGACACCACTCATCTCCCCCCATCTGGATTAAGCATTCACCTACTGATCATCAGTGTGGAGCCCATTCCCCCCCTCCTGCCTTCCTCCACCGGCTGGCGCCTTGGCCCGCCGGTGCTTTGGGGGTGTTCGGTGTTTAGGGATGAATGCCTGGATGCTGGCTTATTCCTGGCACAGCGCCCCTGGGGCCTCGGGTCCCTGGGGCCCATGGCCGGTTCCACTTCAGGGTAGCTTGCTGCCGGCGGAGCCCACGGGCTTGTTCCCATGGATCCTCGGGGCTTTGGCATTGCAGGGGCTGGGGGGTTTCCTCGGGGCCGTCTCTCCTATTCCCTTGGTTGAGGAGCAGATTTCCGGGGTTGGACCCTTTTGGGCGCCTTTGCTCGGGGGATCCCTTTGGGCACCTAGGGTTTTGGGTCCCCTGGTGCCTGCCTCAGTGCTCTGGGGGAGCGCTTCTTCGGCTCTCCACAACCACTATTGAGCATTTTTTCTTTAGATAAACTTTACATGCACAAGTACACTCTCACAAATATCTACAGCTGCTTGGTTCCAGGTACTAAGAGATTCACTTCCATACAGAAAGCCCATATTCTGATCTTCAGCTGCCACAGTATACATGTCAGATTAAATAATACTACTTCAACGATAGTATCAAGTTGTTACTTTAATGTATCTGTTATACTATATCCATTTGTTCTGTTCTTTTACATCTCTTTGCAGGTGATGAAGCTGACTCATGAGGTTTTATCATTATCTCCCTTTTATCTCCTCTTTCTTTCATCTTTTCTCCTTTTTCCTGTTTGTCCTTCCCTGTTCTACTTTCCCATTG